GTGTGCCTTCAGTGACCCACGACTTTGATTAAATTTGGTGGTCGCATCGATACCTTAGAAAACGGCCCGTGACCGCGAAAAAGAGAGTGAGCGAGACTCGAACCGGCCAGTTCTTGATCGGCGGTTTTCGGGCGGAAAGAAACCGAATTTCGAGCCGCAAATTCTGTTCTGGGTAGTTGAGCTCTCATGTGTCACGTACAACTAAAAACCTCGGCGAGCATAAATACCCTGTCAGTGTCCCTTTAACTGTGTTTAATCATGTATTATGTTGTTTTTTTATTTTATAACATGCTTTTAGAGAGTGACAGCATCTGGCAACATGGTGTCAGCTCATCTTGACTTAAAACAAAGTTCTGTATCACTCGGGGAATTTTGGAAAAGGACTCGGGGAAAACCTGGAAAACTCTGGGAATTTGTAAATGTTAACTTGGTAGACACCCTGATATTGAAATTGTTTTTCCCAAGTAAGAAGTATGATTTTCACTGGGTTAGCTCTCATATGGGGGGAAAGGTGGCGACTTTCAAAGAATGGACAAAACATTATTGCTTTTAAGATCTAACAAGTTTATGACTCCTTGTGATACATCAGAACGCAGTCAATGCACTCTTTTGAAGGGGAAATAAAAGTTACAATGTGTTGAAAAGGCTAAAAATTTATTTGTTGAATTTGAAATTATGCAAAAATAAGACCAAAAGGGTTAAGCGTGTAGCTATTGGGGAGGAGATCAGACTGTGCCGCCCCAAGCGGCTAACGTTTGAACTACACAGATCGGGACGACTAATAACAATGACTTGGCCCTTGGCTGACGTAACCGAACGCCACTTCAGTGTTCGGCTGGAGTTGGTGTTCTCCGGTTGCCCCAAGGGGGAGGAGTGCTTACCACTCCGGCCTGCACGAGCAATGCAGCATGCACAGTGCCCAGCTCATCACAAAACCCCAAGTGGGTCAAGCTCTCATTCTCCGACGACTGCTTTTGGGAGAAATCCGGCACTAACAATAAACGTCACTTTGTTTATTGTGTGTGCCATGACCACATGGCCTGTGGGCATGTCCACAGGCCTTGTGTTGAGGAAATACCGGGGTGTGGGGACAACAAACGGGTCAAAGCGCCCCCTATAGTTCAATCTCCACGCCATAAGTATAGCATGCTATAAACTTACAAAAAAAAAAAAGAATTCTGTCCATGCTTATTTTTATCACTTCTGCGAGTAAGTAATGGTGATAGTCTTCTTTTGGTCTGTCGGCAAGTTAGCTTCTGTGGTGCCAGTGCCATTTAGAGAACCTACTGCATGCTGTGGTGCATGTCCTGTAGAACACATTTACTATTCACTAGACATTGGTAGGTCATAGTACTGCTTGTGGTTTGTTCTCCTATGAAGTTTTAAGGCTTGTAGCATATGTAGGAGATATGCCTCTGCTCAGGACATCCTGGAAAGCTAGAATAAGGCTCACTGACAAGCATATGTAGATATTCCCGGCCTTAAACATTGCTGTCGGAGCTAAAATCAGATCTAACATCTTCTAGAGTCCTCGGAGCTACTGTCATCCAAAAAACAAGCTACAAACAGTTATATCTCGGCTGTATACTTTCCGGTGTTTATTTATGTCAAAATCGGCGGATGTTTTTCAGTGTTTGTTTATTTCCAAAATGCCTGTGCATTTCGGTGAATTGTCTCGTGCAGAAGCTTAAAATGGCTTTTATGGACGAGAAAATATCTCAGATAGAAAGGAACAGTCAAGGCGAGAAATGGTTCAACTTTTATTTACATCTGACACATAATGTTCTTCACACTTCAATATTGTAATATATACATGCATACATTCCAAAGCTCGCATGTGTCATTCCCACCCGCTCCTTCCCGTTGACGACGCGCAATTTCGAGAATGTGCGCTCTACATTTGCGCTACACACGGGAAGTTCCAAAAATGTCTAAAGAGGCTAGGAAAAGTGTTGGCCATTCTGGTGAACGCAGCTTCCGGACACGCTTTGACCCAAACAGTGTAAAAGACACTTCAAACCACTCAACCAGGGTCCACAAAGAAGGACTTCAATGAGGCAATCCACAAAAGGGCACAAGGTGGACAAACTTTTGGGGACATAAACTATAGGTCAAAGTATGCAGCACTGACAGAAAAAAAAAACATCTCAGTTAGTAAGAGACGCCAAAAAACCTAAAACAACAACTATAAAAAAAAGAGAATGATTGATCGGCTACATAGCTACATAGGGTGAAAAGAAAACTGTCGCTTGTTTAAATATTTTAAAAACAATATTTCACTTTTAAGCAACTTTTTATTTTCGACTCCGGCGGATGTTTTTCGGTTAAAACCGGAAAGTCTATTGCCTAGTTACATCGCACAACAGATCCTGTCTTTGTAGCAGTCCCCAATGCCAGCAGCATGCCATGCTTGACAAGTGCCATTGACGTGCAGAGATTTATTTCTGGTAGTTCACGACCCTGTGAGAAAGCACAAAACGGGAAACAAAACCAAAACTGGAATTCTTTGGCTATCCACGAAATGTTGCAACTTGTTGCGGCACGTCAAACATGAATTTCAGCGGCGTGTGGGAACCATACATCACGGGTGGTCATTGGTCAGTGGCTGGTGACCCACTGGATCTGATTCGTCTAAAAGTGGGTCACAAAAATTAAGCCTTCAGTAGTTTGGGGGAGATTCCAAAACCACTGCCCTGTTTATGGGATTCTATGCACCCTCCTGTTCTTATAGAAAAGATAAGAAAATGAATCTTGTAGGCAAGTGCCCTCATTAGGGCCCGTCGATGAGACATTTGCTTAAAGTCCGACCTACAGAATCGTCTTCTACCGGGGGAAAACCGGTTCCCAGTTTCCTTCTCTCCATTCCCACTCGCCCACTTTTCCCCTCCTCTCCGCACAGGAGCGGATCTCTGAACTACTCCCAATTCGCGACTCCAGCAAAACGGACGCCGCCAAGCGGGAAAACCGGGAACCAGTCGGTCCAGGTCGCTCCGCGCCCCGCCGCGTCTCTGATGGCTTTCGCGGACATGTGCTGTCGGCGCGGGGGCGAGCAATGTAATTTGACGAAGGTCCGAATATTTCTTAAGTTTGCCTGAGTGTTCATTAGTGTGGTGAAGCCTCAGTAGATTGTTTCTTTCCATCACGTGTTTGAAAGCCCGTTTACTCCACAACACACGGTCGCGTGCTTTCAATTTTTTTGGATGAGGAGGAATCACGGGAAAACGTTTTGATTTCTCGTCTGTCTCTAATCACATTCAAAGTGGCTACTGCTTGGTAACTGATAAGTGGTTTCTTTATAAGGATGTATAACAGTGGACTGAGGTCGACAGACGAAGTGTTTCACTGGAGGGAACACCAATGTTGCGGTCAAGTGAATGGGAAGGTTCGATAGCTGCTTTCCTTGAGTTTGGTTGTGCTCGATTAGCTTCAAGTTAATTTGAGCCACTAACGCCGGCCGGTGCGTTGGCTATTCATCTTGGCGGCTTTTCGCCGAAAAAGACCACATTGAAGGAGTTGGGTTAATTTCGCTATTACTTGATTCAAAAAACCTGCTTGCTGCATATGATTAATGAGGGACATTATCTGCTTTCAAAAGGTGGGGGACGCGTCTCGCAAAGTTAGAAGCTGTCACGTCATTAGGATCTATCGCGCCTCCAATATTGATATTATAACCCCTGTCGAAGCCAGCAGCAATATACGTCTACATTGCTCAGGTTGACCGGCCACAAAAAAATACTCATTTTATCCGTTCAGGATTCCAAGTCAAGTTCAATGCAGAGAGGTCTGAGTGAATCTCCGATGAAGACTCTCCTCAGTTTGTCCGCATTCGCCTCCGTTCTACCGGCTAGAACCATTTGGCTAAGTTTAAATAGTGTCTCTCTGTCTGTCAAATATACTTTTATAATAGTTAGTTAACTAAGTTCATATTTCAACCCGAGGAATATACTAATATCGCTTTAGTGGGACATAGTACGTAATATAATACATAATCCGCATATTCGTCAAAATGACTTCTCGATTGCTACTAAAACCTGAATTGAAATACGAGTATCAGCTGCTCAGTGAAGCGCCAGCGAGTTGACATCCTCCTTGGCTCAAGAAGCGCTTGCTTAATTTTCGTAATTTTCCTGCAGCCTGTGTTCTTGACCGAGTACACGACTGGAGCTGTTTCTTGAAACGCGGACAGGCACGAAAGCTCAATTTCGCGGACAGATACGTCGCATGGTCGAGGCATGCGAGTTAGCTAAAAATTACTCTCGGTGGAACAATTTTGTAGCCTTCGTCGCTTCCCTTAGATGATCAAAACTAATTAGAGTCTACTACCGTTTCTCCGGAGCCCATAGTTTCGGTTTTGATCGAAGTCTCCGAAACGAAAGTTTGACATGAAAAGAACAAAAAACACTGGCAAAACAAAACTATGCTCGGCAAGTTTATGCGCACCGGCTACACTTAACTGTCTCAGTTCTAATACCCATAAAATTGAGCATTTAACAAAAGAAAATTTGTTAAATTGAATGCGCCACCCATTCAGGCGGCCCGGCCGAGCCGACGCGACCTGGACTCAGCCGCCATGTTTGTTTGGTGGTGGCACCCCCTATAGGTCGCTGGAGTCGCGAATAGAGAGGAGGGTCTCCCTCTTTTTTTAAATGGAACGGAGGAATTGAGGGAGAGTTTCCTTCTTTCTGCATGTTGGTCGGCCTTTAAAAATGCCTGAATGTGACCTTTCAAAGTTTCGGCTGTGACATGCAGGCATCCTGCCAGCAAAAACGGTCCGTTTTCTGGAAAAAAAAAAAATAAAGCACTCAACTCAACTCAACCTTTCAAAGTTGACCTGCCTTTCTCCTACTTCAATTTAAAAAATTGCCATTCGATGGCAGTACCTGTAACATACTTTTGTGTGAAGTTGCAGCCCATACTGCATGAGCAGTTTTGATAACTCACCGAAATTGTCTGGCTGAGCAAAAGTTGTCACTCTGAATATTTGTTGTCTTACTGTCTAGGAGGGCCTGTGCGATGTGGTCTGGCGACTGGAGCCAGTTTCCGCAAGAGTCTCTTCGGCTTTTAAATAGCAAAGTCGAGACCAAATCATTTTTAGAGGTAAGTTTTCCCCTGGAACACCAGTGCAGCTGCAATTATCTCCCTTGATGTCTGACCCTGATCTCTGTACAGTATTGCATGTAGCCAAGGAGTGACCACCCCTTTGTGCTACTTGTGTTGTTCTATTTAGTAGCCACTGAAGTCCTCCAATCGCTTCCATATATTGTCTGGCCTTCAGCCAGAGGCATATTTTCCTTTATTTTCGGGCTCTTGTTGATTGGGTTGCTGTTAAAATCATGGCATGTGTCAAATGTCTTGTGTAATGTTTTGGGGATACCTCCGAGCAGTAGAAGGTTCAAGCATATTTAATGGCATAAGGGAAAAGAACAACCGAGTTAAAACGTAGAGGTACAGACATGCAGCGCTAGAAGCCGGGCAGTCGATAGAATGCGAGGCGCGAGCAATCCGACCAAGTTGGTGTGCGCGCCACTGGTGCTGTCGCCAAAAAGGGGAAAAGAGTTAAAACCTTGTTGGGCCCAAATTTTAATTTTATTAACTTGTAAACTTATGGAAAGTTTTGGCCCATTCTCTCTGTCTTCAAATGTTCCAGTTTTGAGCATTTCTGAACCTGCCGCGTGTATGAAGGCAGCTGTGTTGCACTGCTTCGGTTCAGTCACCCTTCCGTCGCCAACGCAGGATGCTCTGTACCTTTCGTTGTAGTTTGTAGGCACAAGTCTGCCTCATTAAACATATATTTTCAGTTTTATGTTTGTTTGCCATTTTTCACCTGTGACAAAATTGCCTTAATTCTTTTTTTTTGTGAAAGGACAATTTATAATAGAGAGGTTTGGCAATTGACAACCTGAAATGATGTTGTGTAATTCCCCATTTACATTAGTGTAGATATCATACTGTAATTTCTCGTGTCATGATTTATCATTTCATGCTTCTATAAAGTTATTCTGTCCAGTTGCAATGCCCATGAACTACTGCTCAACTTGTTCTTTTCATTATTTCAGGATGTTAAATCACTCATATTTACTTTGGGTAAGTCTGTTCACCATATAAGGGCCAAGTTTTAACTAACTGTGTGCACAATGAATTAATTATATATTATTGTTGTTATTTGTATGCAGTGCATGTTATGTGGTCGTATGGCAGAGGCAAAATGTCCAAAAGACAGTCTCTGTTTCTTCTTGTTTTATCATAGGCTGCTTTGATTTTCTTTCTTTACTTCCTTGTGTTCTCTGCAAATAATTTTCTACTTTGATGTGGGCATTAGGCCTTCTATCAAGTCCCGATTCAGTGCCCCCCTCTGTCACCTGGAATTCATAAAAGGAAGTGGGATGTTTGACATTTTTATACCTAGTACAAGAAATACGAGAAAAGCTACAAAAACCCCGTTGTTCTTCATGTATTTACTCGGCCGGGCAACCAATGTAGTACTGAGCAGAACAAACCATCCGTCGCTCAGCAAACACTTCGTAAAAAAACTGCAGCATTGTGTTTTTTTGTTTTTTTTTTTACTTTTTTGGTTGGGTTGAGTTGTGGCAGAGAAGAATGGCGTAAATCCAAGCGAAAGCATAGTAGCCACCTCAAGTGCACCCCCATGTGTCGTTTAAAAAAAAAACGTTCTTAATCCGAAACTACTGAAAACAATAGTGGCAGGGATCGCATGGGTCCTTAAAAACCTTGAAAACCCTTCAACTTTGAAATGATAGCCAGTTTTAAGTTTTTGCAATAATGAATTTGTTTTACATTAATATAATATAATTATTCTTTTTGCGTGTATGTTAACATAAACTTCGAAATTCCACTTAGCGTATGCCTATTAAGCGCCGGGCCACAATGGTCGCTGATCTGACCGTTGCGAAGGGTATAGCCATTAATATACATGCATCGTCAGCCGATCACTTTTGCTGAGAAAGCCAAGGCAAGTAGTGACATCACCTACATTATCAAGTCGAACAGCCTAAAAAAGACGGCAAAAACCAAGATGCGAGGACTTCTAAACATCAACCAGAAAACAGAGGAAAAGCTGCAGTATTTTTATTGAACACTTTACTGGCACTTTTTGACAAATGCGCCTTTTTCTAGGTATTGCACAAAAAAGAATTTTCGCAGTGCATTTGAAAAAAGTTATAAATTTAGTAGAGTATTTGAAGGGTCCTTAAAAATATCTTTACAGGTAGTGTCCCCTGAGGGGACACTACCTGTGAATGTCAACTTTTGAGCGGCCCACTGAGTTGGTGTGATATTTGCAGGTGGTGTTTGTAGCCAGAGCCTTCTATATTTGTTTTTCTAAGTTTCAGCCCTATGAACCAATTTTCTGAGGTACAACACCCCCAGAACGAAGTAAAGCATAGTTTTGCATGAATTAAGTCTGAATAGTTTCATACTGAAACAATAGTTTTATTAAGGTGGGATTTATGCCAAAAACTGGATTGGAGAAATACTCATTCAAACTGCTCGAACCTCTACATTTTCTTTAGCATTATTAAACTAAAAATAATTTATGAAAAAAAAAAAAAAATCTATGCACTGTAAACAAACAAATCTTTCTGAAATAAAAATACTCTGCTGATTTGGTGGGTGTAAATGGGGCATTTTTTTAAATCAACTTTTTGCAGATATTTTGTTTTCTGGGTAGTGAGCCATTTAACAATCAAAAGCCACAATGTTTGTGCTACCCTGCTGCTCTTATAAATGGTTTAGGCCCACTAAGCAGTCTCTTAAACCTACAATTAAAAAAAGGAATTACCTTACATTCACATTTTGTTTGTCATTTGTTTGTAGGCAGTGCCGAGGATGGTGACAATCATATGGTGCGAGTGGCCTGCCTGGGCCCCTACTTGCTTGCAACAACATATTTTAGTAAGGACTGCGAGATATGGGCAAGGAGTTCTGGCATTTTCTTCCATCCTTCCAAGTATGTTTTCCTCCTTGATTTCTTCCCCTCGCCGTGCCAAACTGATGTGTAACAAACCCTAGCACCTAAACAAACCCGAGAAGAGAACCACCTTTTTCGCAGAGAAAGCTCAAGATCCGTGAGAATGTGGCGCTAGCGGTTGGGATACAACCCGGAAGATTGGGAACGTGATACCTGGATCAAAAGATTTTACAAAAAACAAAATTTCTCTATGAGCCGACGTTTACCCTAGCCTAATATCTTCAAAAAAATTAATGACATTGTGGGTGCCTATACAATCTATTTTAGTGAAAGAAACTTGTTAGCAAGGAAGAAAACAACATTCTCTTTCTTGCTGACAAGTGTTTTTCACTGATATATAAATCCCACAAGCATCCACAATGTCAGTTCATGCAGAAATTTTGACTTTCTCTATTTTGATCCAGGTAGTGTTGTGTTGTCAAACTTTTGCATTCTATCCCGACCGCTAGCGTCACATTGTCACATAGTTGGGGCATTCTGCTATGCATAGTTTAATTACCCGGGTCAAAAAACATGGTTCTCTTTTCTGTGGAACTTCCTGTATGTTTCCTATTCGCAACTCTAGCATGCCGTTCACCCTCTCTTGGTTGAACAAAGAACCAGAGGAGCGGGGACTGCGGCGGAGATGGTGACAGGGAGTGTCAGCCTTGGTGCTGCTGTAACCGCATGGTTTTGGTCGGCGTGTTCGTACATCATGCAGTTTTAACGAAAAAAATCTGAGTGTGTTAAAATAAGAATTGTTGTGTTCTGCTTCATAACAGTGCTGCAGAAAGGGACTGGGATGTCTCATTTAATTGGAGACTTTTTGTAGATCATATACGCTGTGGATTTCAGGTCTTGCGGTCACCAGCTCAATCTGTGCTCAACGTTACGACAAAAGCTCTCGTTAGTACCGCAAAGCTCTTCCGTACGATCTTCAGAAAGTACATTCTTTCTTGAAAGTAGAAGAGAGCTGCTCGCTTAATGGTGCGTCGAGCGATTGACAGACGCCGTGAGTGGGTTGGTGTTTCACTCGCTGAGAAGCCGTGACAAGGAACATGTCTGTTTGCTCCAAGCACTTCCAAAAGATAGACTATGCATACCTGCCTTTGGAATTATAAAGGCAAATGTTGGCAGCATTCTTAAAGGGACCATGAAATGACTTTTTTACTTTTTCCATATAACTTTTACATTGACCCGTCAATGTTCACTGAATGCCGAACAGGCATCCGTTTTCGTCTCGGTTTATTAACTTCTACACAAAAAATTAATGAAATATCGACATTTTCTTTCTCTCCATCTGACCGCAAAGCAAGCCGTGACGTAATCTGTTTCCGGAACCGAAAGTTTTCTCGGCAGTAGGAGAATGGGAGCGTTAGCGGCGACGAGTTGGGGTGCGCCGGTAGGTTTTACTGCGCTGATGTCACCGACGTATTTTCTGAATCGGCGCCTCTCATCGCCGCATCGCAGCTGAGCGAAATTCAATGAGATATGTTGCGCTACAGCGACAGCATGGGACTAGTCCCATACGCCGGTATGCCTGTTGGGAACTGCGGCGAGTCTTCCGGTGAAGACTCCAGAAGTCAACCCAAATGCCATTGTTGGCAAAAGGCGGCCCATGTCAGTCGTTTGCAAAGCGACGTAGATGGAAACAAATTGCTGCGGCGTTTTTCGCGGCCTCGGAGATGCAGGAGCGAGCCGACGTTAAAAAAGATACGTTTGAACTATGAGTGTCAGCAAGAGCCACGTAAATACCTGTTCACACTCGAAGCGGATGCTCGCGTTTCTTGGAAGTGCTGTATTCGCGCTGTTGGTAAGCGCTTCGGGACCGATCTTTTACGACTGCAACTCGATACTGACGCGACACTCGGCAAAGAAAGGTTGGACCGGCATTGCATGTATACCATACCTCCCACGAACTGTTATAGCTCGACAGTGACGTGCAGTCTGTCAGAATAAAAATGTCATACCAATAACAAAGTGTACATACCGTGTTACGAAGGTAATCCATACGGCGTTTATTTCAGCTCTATGTCACACAAAACAAGAAGATAGAATCGACGAGAGTCCCTTTTCGACGAGTGTTTGTCAACACTGCCTCGGAAAACAAGGGGAAGAGATTGACCTCACCTCTTAATCTAAAATTGAGGTCAGCGATCAAACTATAATACGGGAAGGGTCCACAAGGGTAGCGCGGGCATATTCCATTCAGCACGCCAGCCGGTCGTAGGCAGACGGTCTTGCGACGAAGCAACGCTGCGCCGAGTCGGAGTGCCTGCTAGGCCTATATTCTGAGTAGCTCGCTTCGTCGGAGTCGTTGGATTCGTGGCCATTGTCGCTCTTCTCGGGTGTTTGTGGATCCAGCGTTCTTGTTCGTCGTGGTCTGTTTTAAGTACTTTTTTTCTTGCTGCTTGAAGTCGGCACGCGCAAGAAGAACACATAGAAAAATAAACGTTCAGTCAGTCAGAGTTTTGAGAAGAAGGAAATCAAAGAAAATAAACGTTCGTCGCGAGTCGCGACCCAACTAACTGAAGTCGGCCCTGCCCTACTGCGCACGCGCAGTAGTTGCTTCATTTACCACACGATAGATGACGCTTGGCTCTCAGCATTATCAAATTTGGCAATTTTCGCCACACATCTCTAATTATGCTACAAAATGTGGATCTGAATATTATTTAACAAAACTTTTAGGAAACATTTGCCGGCTATTTATTGTTTACGATCGCGGTGCTGGTGAGGTAGGCTCTTACCCAATAGGCGACGTGGATTCGGCTGACGTGCTCAGTTTCTGCGGATGCATCGTAGTGAAAAGGCAGAGCTTTCGAAGGAAAGAAGTCGCAAAAGAGTCCAGTTTTCTTTTAAAAGTTCTATAGCAAATCATTTTTTTTTGGCTCCCTATTTTTGTGTTTTTGTGTTCCTTTTCACACCTTTTACGACGTGCGGTGGATGAAATTCGATTTCAAAATCATTTCATGGTCCCTTTAACCTCCTCTGTGTAGGTCAGCAGTTTGCAACTATTACTTAGAATGGGCAGTTTTGGTGAGGCAGGTTGTGTCATTGCGAATAACACGGTACAGGGGTGGACTTTATTTGAATATATCTTTTTATAGAGCAATACATTAAACCCACAATTATGCTGATCCTATTAATGTGCATTTCTGGCATAGTGCTACCGCAGGATATTGTAAGTACCACAATGATAAAAATCATGCTTCAAAGGTGCAGCTCAAGATGCTGGTTGCAATGTCGCACTGCGCGGTAGCCTGCCTTCACGCGCTATGCTAAAACGGCCTATTAGTAACCATGGCGCAGGTCGATAACGTGTTGCAATGCACTAAAACCGTGACGATGTGCAGCGAGTTGTGAGCCTCCAGGGCCTAGTCACCAATCGCCCTATAAAGCTGCTGCTTTTAAACGCATTTGCAAGTATTACCAAACATGCATACTTCTCGGCCGCGCTTCTATGGCGCGAAAATCCAGCCCGCAGAAGTTGCCACCTAACAGCTTGTTCGCTACGTAAAACTTTTCATACGGCTCAGTATTTCTCTCTATATTCAAAGTAGCCCCCAGTTAAGAAATAAAAAAAAAACTTGTGTGGGCCTTCTTTCTGTTGACGTCTTTGTTGTCTAACTTTTCACGAAATCTTTTCAACAGACTTTCTGACAATGCTCTGACACCAGAGATTCGCGAAGTCATTCTTGTTCTGGACACACTGGCGTATCATGTTTGTCTCCTCCTTGTTGCCGTAAGTATTGTAAAACAAGCTGCTTCATTCGTAAAAATAACTTATATTTGTCATATTCTTTTTGTTTCTTTTTTTCATAGTGCTGTACATCTGAATGCACCAATGTTTTTAGAAAAGCTGTGGGACTTTTATGACCAAACTAAGCTCAGCCGTATTTGCCATATCTGTCTACCGCCTGTTTAACCGCTGACTAACTACGTCATTGATCAGAGTGATCACTTGGCAGGTGGTAATCAATCAATCAGCGTTTATTTCAGCTTGAAATACAAACTGAGGGTGGCAAGAAAAAAGCAGTGTCGTCCACTGCTTGACGGGCCTCGCCACCCTTACAAGTCAGCAGTGTAAACGCGGTAAAAAATAATATATATATACAAAATGAACAATACAGACAAAAATGAGATGTACAGACAAATTATAGAAAAGCGTTCCTAAGGACAGAAGAAGACATACCATTCAAGTGATCACATAGAGGAGTATTCAAAAACTTAGGCAAGATATATCGCAACATTGTAAAGCCATAGTTCGTTCTACATCTAGGTAAAACAAAGCTGTCTTTTTCCCTGGTTGCATAAGGCGTATTGTGGGGCACAGTAGAAACAATACGTGAAAGAAAATTATCGTTTTTAGCTATACTATTTTTGTAAAAACACGCGAATCTATATTCAAATAAATTATATACAGGCACAATTTTAAACTGCGAGTAAGCCTGCCCGGTTGGGGAATTATATGGAGCTTTTGTAATAGCACGTAGCATTTTCTTTTGCAAGATCAGAAGCTTCTGAATATTGGATGTTGTGGTATTACCCCAGACAAGAAAACAATAGCTTAAATATGAATAAAAGAAAGCGTAATACAAAGTAAGTTTAGTTTTTTCAGGTAGAACGTACTTATTACGCGAGGTTATTCCTACAACCTTAGAAAGGGCAAGACAAACCTCGTTTATGTGGGCGTCCCATGTCATCGTTGCGGTAAAACTTACACCGAGGGATCTAAACGTTTCTACATACTCGATAATGGTGTCACTCAAAACTAAAGGCGGTGGGTGCATTACAAGCTTTCCTTTAGGACGAAATATTACAGCTTTAGTTTTTTCTTTGTTGATTTTCAATGAGTTGACTAATGACCACCGTGATAATAATGCCAATACTCGGTTAGCAGTGCCAGTTAGTTGTTCAACGTCAGAGGAGGAAAAGAAAAGGCTCGTATCATCAGCGTAAATAACGTACTTTGCAAGGGTACTAATATTGGAAATGTCATTTATATATATATTAAACAAGAGTGGTCCAAGGATGCTACCCTGAGGGACACCATTAAAAATTTGAAGGGAATCGGAGCGAGAGTGGTTTATTACAACATATTGTAATCGTGAGCTTAAATATGATTTTATAAGGTTGAGGGCGTGTCCTCGTACGCCGTAATGCTCGAGCTTAGCGATAAGTATTTTATGATTTACAGTATCGAATGCCTTACTAAAGTCAATAAAAATGCCAAGAGTAAGACGTTGTGATTCAAAATTGTTCAAAATATATTCTTTTTGGGCAAGCAAGGCGTGTTCCGTTGATCTATTTTTAGTAAACCCATATTGGCAATCGGATATTACAGAATGCTTTAAGAAGAAATGATTGAGGCGGCGATGAATTATTCGTTCTAACCCTTTAGAAAAAAACGGAAGTATAGATATTGGTCTATAGTTACCGAAGTCGTTCTTATTTCCTTTTTTATAAATTACGGCTACTCTGGCTAGCTGCATAGCTGTTGGAAAGTGTCCTGTCATAAGCGCTACATTATAAATATGTGTTAGACATGGTGTAATTATTTGTAAAACATATTTTACTGGGCGACTTTGTATATTATGAGAGTCGAGGCTATTCGTATCTTTCAGACTTTTGAAAATTGAAAAAACCTCAAGCTCGTCAGTCGGTTCAAAAAATATTGATTCTGTTAACCTATCACTTAGAAAATCAAAAATGCCGGAATTATAGTGACTGTCACCTACAGTCGAAAAAAAGTAATTGAATGATGCAGCGAGATCTGAACCCGATAGCTCAGTTCCATTAACCGTTAAGCTTGTGATCGCTTGGGCATTAGTATGTCTATTCAGGAGCAAATTTAGACGCCTCCATTTTTCCTTAAGATTGCTAGAAGTCTGGCGACCAAAGAAATTATTATAATACATGTTTCTCGCCAATTTAATTTCCCTGTTTAGTCGGTTGCGTAAGGACTTATATTCTGCGAGCACGGTAGGATTTTTGTTTTTAATAAATATAGCAAATAATTTGTATTTCTTTTTAACGAGTCTAATTAAACGTCTAGTCATCCATGGTTTACGCGCACTTTTGCATGGTTTTATTTCTACAGTGGGAAAACATTCATTATATACTGATGTGAAGAGCTCTAGAAACCTGTTAAAAGCATCATCTGCAGCTGGCTCATTATAAATAGGGCTCCAATCCACCAAGGAAATACGGTACTTAAATAGGTCGAGCCTTTCTTGAGATATTAGCTGGCGTCTCAATTTAGCGACATCGTTCGAACAAGTTGCTTTTTCTATACGCAAGAAAACAGGTAAGTGATCGCTAATATCGGCAGCGATGCGACCGGAAAAGAATGCGTTGTCATTATTAGTAATAATTAAGTCTAAAGTGGAAGCAGAAGAAGCTGTAATGCGCGTTGGACTGTTAATAACATTTTGAAAACCTGTTGAATGAAGTGTGAGTAACATTTGCTGTTGCATTGGGCTATTCGTACCCATATCAATATTAAAATCGCCAGCTATGATGGACAAATAATTTTCAGAACTAAATAAAAACGTTTCACGTTCAAATATCTCCCAAAATTCGCCAAAGTTTCCATGAGGTGGTCGATAGACAACCGAAAATATATTACGTCCAGATTTCACGGTAAGCATTTCAATATCAGAGTTGGAAAAAGAGTGATCAGATAACATATCACAGGCATAGCTACTTTTTATCAGCATAGCTACGCCCCCGCCACGCTTTTCTGTGCGATTGATATAAAAAGAATTATACCCCGGAATACGTACAACATCACTATCAGCCCGATACCAAGTTTCAGACAAGAAAATGACATCGAAAGAACACGAGGAACGCGTTAGATCGTCTAAGAGGACAGTTAGCTCATCAGCTTTATTCACGGCAGATTGCATGTTAAGATGTATAACTTGAATATATTTATTCGCATCTAGTGCTATAGACGCATTAAACTCAGAAGGTGTGAAAAGAGGGGTGTCATTCATGAGGGTATAAAGAATCAGGTAATAAATCTATGAAACAATGGCGCCATTTACGTCATTTTGGACAAGTCAATCAGAGAATAGATCCGGAGGACATTAGAGTCGTCTGTCTTCCGTGCGAAAACAGCGCCATTCCTTGTCCACACGTGCTTCCAAGATACTTGTTTCTTTCTAGAAATCGTAGCACCAAGTAGCCGTTTGTTTTCTGGCGTTAGATGCTCATTAACATAGACACGCTGGTCTGGTCCTTCGAACCCGATTTTAGAAGTAGACAGTTTCAGCTTCTTGGCAGCGGCCAGGAACACGTTGCGCTTTGACCTAGACATGAACCTGACAATTATGTTTACTTCGTTTTCTTTTTTGGTTGGAACGCTGTGGGCGATGTCGATTTCAGCAAGGTCAAGTGGGACTTCGATAGCCTCTGCGATTTTTATAGCCATGTCGTGCGCTCTTTCTCTGACAGTGGCAGGCAGGCCCTTAATCTCAACGTTATTCAACCGGCTGTATTGTTCCAACTCAGAAATCCGTGCTTCAGCCTTCATCAACTTTTCTGTTAGGGTGTTATTTTCTTTCTTTAGCTCAGCATAGTCTTCCTTGGCCTTCTTCACTTCAGATGTAAGAGCGCGTAGCTCCGTTAAGGCTTTCTTGAATTCGTCAGCAGCATTCGAGCTGTATTCAAGGCTCTGATGTACTGATCGTAGTTCTGCACGCATCTCGCGCTTCAAATCCTGAATGGCTTTCATAACCTCAGCACAATCAGAGCTCATGATAGGCGAACCGCGCAAGAAGCACAAAACACTCAAAGCAGTCAAATCAGTCGGCAGTGGCAAAGAGAAAGGAAAGGCTTTATGTAGGTGCAGCCGCACTCACCTATGAATGTGAAGCAAAACAGTAGAACAGTCAGTGTTTCTGTTCGCTGTGCCACTGCCGACTGGAAGTACAGTTCGTGGATGGTGCGCTTTTCTAGCACGGATGGTGGTCACGTGCTGATGACGTCCCAGGCAGCCGCTCCACAGACGGTGATGATGTGGCACACTTCTCTTGCGTCGACGAAGGCTGGGCTCGATAAGACGTCGTTGCGTAGTCCTATGAATGTGAAGCAAAACAGTAGAACAGTCAGTGTTTCTGTTCGCTGTGCCACTGCCGACTGGAAGTACAGTTCGTGGATGGTGCGCTTTTCTAGCACGGATGGTGGTCACGTGCTGATGACGTCCCAGGCAGCCGCTCCACAGACGGTGATGATGTGGCACACTTCTCTTGCGTCGACGAAGGCTGGGCTCGATAAGACGTCGTTGCGTAGTCCTATGAATGTGAAGCAAAACAGTAGAACAGTCAGTGTTTCTGTTCGCTGTGCCACTGCCGACTCACAGCTGAGTGAGCACTTCGTATTCACCGACCATGTTTAGGGCTTAGTCGCCCCAGGCAACTTGGAAGGCAAATAAAAAATCTTCGTTGGGGGGTTATGGCTAGTTTAGCGGGCAACTAGCAGCTCGGCTCCTTGGATGACTTGTATCACCGCTGACCGCAAACGCTAATGAAGCATTTACTGTCTTAAACCTCGAAAGGACACACCCAGAAAGAATCGGAGCAGCAAATATTGGGGGAATAGACAGGTTCAAAAGGTCGGATTTACCGCTAAAGCACCTCGGCAAGGCGCTGGCAACGCGGTTTCTGTGTCTTCTCCTTTGAGTTCTTTTTTTTTTTTTCCTTTGAAAATCTGTCCCGGACAACTAACCTTTCATAATAACATTTTATTGTTGCTGATAAACATTTAAATATTAGTTATCATATGACGAACACCCCATTTACGCAATGGCATTCAAGTACGAGCATGCGTGACCCATCTTATTACGTCGCTTCCGCTCGTTACTCCTGACGTCACCCGCTCACGTTGTGCACGTGAATACTGCAGGACTAGTCGCTCTTTAGTCACCAATTTTTTCTCTGTTCACTACTACATAGACGCACTACTAACCTTAAAACAGCGCAAGTTACTCACGACTGGTGAATGCGGCTGGCTTTGTTTAGGGGAACGCTGAACATTCTTTTAATGCTTTCTTTTGGTTTTCCCTTTCTCTGCCCACGTCTTCACGTTTTGCTCAGACTGGCAAAAAAGCTTGGACATGGAACGACGCACCTAAAATATGAAAGAATTGAGTGCTGTTTGATTGCTAGTCAGCAGTGACGTTCCCTTGTCGGACATAGTTCTTGTTTGTCTCGGGTTCTACAGAGCACTGGAGGGAATAAGTGCCACATTGGTTGCGGTCTGGAAAACAAGCACCAAAACTTCCTGAAAGAATTTGACAAAGAGGTCGTCTACTCCAAGGTTGTGGCTCTTGTCGAACCTTCTGAATTTTTTAAGGCCTTCAGGTGAGCAGCTGATTTTATAGAAGATAGAGAAAGAGCTAGATTAGTTATCAGCAATGTTGCATTTCAGGTACCATTTTGAGTAATGAAATTTTTAATTCATGATTTAGAAAACAATTCTGAGCAAATACTTGTCCATCTGGTCATCGTGACAATTTAGTTTGGGTGTTGGTTGACATACTAGGTCTCGCCAAAAACCCAGATGGTATAAGTCCTATTGACTTGAACAAACTCATAATGTTTAATTATCCCTGTGATTAAAAATAATTACATCTTAACTTCAGTTAAACATCACCCGCAGTTTGCTAATGTTAATAATCCTTCCTCGCACAACTTAAAAATTTATTTTGCAGGCTGAGAAATTTCCTTTCTTGCAACAGATTTTTTGGCGTTTTGTTTGAAGGTACACTTACTACACATACAGAGTCAATTAAAATTGAAACTTAAAGAGAAATAGGGAGAAGGAAATAAGTTGACTATTATGACTAACGTCGTTGAAGTTGGTTATGCAGTTTGCTCATAGAGAAGCTGAAGCGTCTCTTACTTACCGCTGCTCGGAGGTTGAATGAAATGGGAAGAAAACGAGCTTTCCGGCGACAATGTCCAGGAGTAGTAATTCCAACGTATTGACATTTGTTGAAGCAACTACTCAACTACTAATTTTGCTGGTGGCACACTGGCCGACATCAAAGAAACAAATAAGGATGCTCCTTTCTGCAGCGTCGTGACTGTCGTTGGCCGAATAAATGTGTAAGAATTTAGGAAGGACAAATGCCACTGCCAAAGCCAGATATTTATTTTTATCTGAGATTCTGCAAAAATTGGGAACACCAAAATAAACTTAATTTTTGAAAATCGGCAATCTAACAAAAACAGGCTCCAATAAACCCAGAATTTTCGACAAAAAATAAATTCCAATAAACTATTTTCGGCAAAACATGAACTTTAAAAAACACAATCCTTTTTTTGAATCTCTGGGAAAATTAAATCTGAAAGCATGGAACCCTACATGTAACATTAAGTTAATGAATCGAGAAAGCCTATATCTGAAAATAGTAATTGTTTTTGTTTTATTGCTGATTTTGTAACAGAAGTTTCACGGTTTTAGTTAGGAATTTGGTGACATAGCAAAGATGGTTTCTTGAGTCACCTGGGCCAACCCTCTAGTTTTGAGCATGTTCCTTGAATAAAAACTCTTATTCTGCTCCAAAAACTTCACTCTATTTTCCCTCCTTTTCTTTCTTATCTAGGAAAAAATTGCATACTACACTCAAGGATGAACAAATACTTGGTTGCTTCATGATAGCCCTAAAAGCCTGTAAGTTTCAGGTTTCGTTTCTTTTTAAACAATTCTTTTTAACTAGTTGTTTATTTTTAAGACATGTATTAACTTTTTGCTGGGTTTTGGTGACAGTTTTTATTCAGTAATATCGTAATTGACTGTGCTAACCTGGTTTTGAAAAGGTGGGGTGGAGAGGTATGCTGTCAGAAAACAAAAGCCATCACTAAACACAAAAAAAAAAGAAGAAAAAAGTACAATATTGTTGACAGAAGCGAGATTCATGCCAAGATTCCTGCACTACATTGTGGCAGGCACGGTCACAAGTGTGTGTAACTTTAAAAGGTGCAATTTGTGTCAGAGTTTTCGTGCAAAGAAAAAGGTTTTCTGGAATGAGACTTAAATCTGCCCTTTTTTTTTATAAGGTGGAGTATGAGTATGTAATCCTTGTAGTCATCGGTTCATAAAGGACAAAATAGCAGAATTTATTCTAGCCATAAATGAAGGATTCTATACCCGTTTTCACCTCAAGAAGCATAGGAAAAAAAGTCCGGCTTCTCGCGGATGGTTACTAATTTTCACCTTTAGGTGGAGATTTAAGATATATTTATAAGCATTTTAGAGTGGATACAGGTTATCTTATCAAGGAGCACACGTTTCAAACGCCAAAAGCATCGCCTGTGCCTCCGACAACCAAATCTGGCGAGAACTATTTCGCGCGGCGTATGAACAATGCGCAAAACTTACTGTTTTCTTGAGGTGAAAACGGGTATAGACACAACTGAAAGACATGAATCCCCCCTTTCACGTTACACTTTTATTAATAAATTCTATTTATTTTTTACTCAGAATAGATATTTTTGAGAACCCATTTGTTTCTTGTGTTAGTGTGAGTGTAGAGATTCTGTTAGAGCAGTGGTTCTCAACCATTGTTGTTTCGCGGGCCCCCTGCGGATCGGCAGTGATCATGGAGGACCCCTTTCGTGGTGAGGGAAAGGTATAGGTGAATTATGATAATGATTTAATGAATGGACATAACTAAGGGCTGGTGTGAAGTAGATTTCTCTCGTTGACAAGCACACGAGCAAAATCACCTGAAAATTGAATTTTTTCTTCTCAATCTGAAAAAAGACAATTTTATTGCCGGGCTTCACTGATGAGGCAGGGTTTTGCGGACCCCTAGAATGCCTTCGCAAAATCCAAAGGATCACGCGGACCGCCATTTGAGAACCACTTGGTTAGAGTGTTAATTTGGTGTTCAGCTGACAAGCCTAAGTAAGGCCTATCAATGCTAGTTTTTATCTTTTTGTTTAGTGTTGGGTTTTGTATTCGTGAGCTTTTACTGTGGCTAATGAAGGAACCCACTTGTTGCAGCAATGGCTCACTGTAGCGGTGTCTTGGACACCATGCTGACCTTCATAGTCAAGGACTGCACGGACAACGACAAGGTAATTGGGCCTGTCCACTGTTAATTAAAAGCGTTTTCTTGTGCTCTACTTGCCCATACTACGTATCCTACTGCTGAATGTAAGATGAAATTGTCTAGTGAGTCCTCCTCAAAGAAATAATATGGAAAGTATTGTTTCTACAGAAATCTAATTTTGCACGAGTAGTTCCTCTATTGGTAACGGATTACTTGAATAGAGTGCTGAGAACAAGCTATAAATCTTTGAGTAAGCTGTGTTCCGTCAATTGCAGTTCTATTGGAAATTATTTTTGCCGCATGCTTCTGGCACACTACGTTTGGATAAGAATAACAATAAAAAAGAAAACTAAAATGCTTTGGTTTCATGTAAGGAAGGTTAGTGAAATATTCAAGAAGCCACTTGCTTTTATGGTTACGCATCTGGGTGGGAAACGTAGCAGCCAAGTTAGATGTCCTGTTTGTGAATTTAGGGGGGACACTACCCAGAAGGGTCAACTTTTCAACTTTCAGCCTAATATGAATAAAATTTAGAGTATATACTGGCAGTTGCAAGACAGAATGCAGCGCAACGATTCGTCTGCATACACAAATTGTAAAATAAATGATAGCGTTTTTTTATCAGGAACACACTGACTTTGTTTAGGAAAACTATTGTTAGAAAACTAATGTAATACCCAGCGTTTTCCTTTGCTAGATACGCAGCAGAATGCCTGGAGAGTGCAACTGTGAAAACAAAATTTCCAAAAAGTAATTTATTTTTAGCTAACATCACAGTGAAAAATTAAATACATTTTTTACGTTGTCGGCAAAATCTTAACATCGTTTTTATAAAAGACATTCACAAAGTAAAAAAACAATGCCAGAGTTGCATTGCCCATTAAAGTCCAGGCAGACAAACAATGAGTGAGTCTTTCCTTTCATCCCGTTACCAAATGAGTTTTCCTAAAGTAAAATTTATGCCAAAATATGGAACGGGGAAAGTGGACCAAAAATACTTTATAAAAAAATAACTGCAGTGTAAACATACGAAACTTTCTGAGAATACTCTAGATGTTGGTGGATGTAGATATTTTTTTTTTTTTTTTTTCCAAAATCTATTTTTTTTGCAGAATTCTTTTTTTCTTCTGGGTAGTGTTTCCCCATGGGGCACTTCGCTTTGAAAGGGTTTTGGAGGCTGCTTATGAACTTGTCACCAAAACATTGTTTCTTGAACTTCCCTTTCTGGCAAGTGTAAATGAAACATCAGCACAGTCCTTTGCGAAACGTTTTTGTAGATCAATACAGCATCAGGAAGGTGGCTTCCTGCCCTCGTGCTCGCAACTCGCCGACAGAAAATGCAATTGGGATATCTTGAATGAGCTGTTGCTTTTGGAATGTTATCTCCGGCTTGTCCTGCAATGTGTTGGCCTCACAAAGGGAAATGTGCAAGGCATATTTGTTCTTCGTAGTTGCTTGCACTAAAGGCGACAGTTACATCACATCTCTCTGTTGCTATCTACTATCATGTTTTCCCTCCCAACCCTCCCAATAATTCTCAGTAGTTTGTGTGGGCTTTATTTTCATGCAGCTCTGCTTGTACGTCTTCCGCTTGTCCTTTGTCTTTTTAGTTCTCTCTGTACTGTCGAGACCGGTTACAATGATGTCAGCGGAAATTGTTATATTTGCTTTTTCGTTATATCTAATTTGTAAAAAAAAAAAAAAAGAAAAAAAAAAAAAGAACACGAGCTGTTGAGGGCACGTGTTTATCATGCTTGCAGAAAAGCGGTCGAGGCTTCCTTGCATGCGCTCTCCGCTAGATCGGAGAAGCTTCTTGCCAACTACAAAGAACTTCGATCAAGAACAGATCCTGCGAGCTACATACGGACCGTGTCGACAGCTGCAACAGCCCTACGGAGGAAGCCAGCAGTGGAGGTCATTCTTCATGTTTATGTACACTTTGTCAAGGACGGCACGTTTTGTCTTCTCCGTCGAGGTGTCGACAGTGCCGGGGTTCTGAATCGTTGAGTGGCGATGATACGCTGAATCGGTGCTTGAGCAAAGTTAGACTTTTACGCAAGAGCGACCACACCGGCCAGCATCACCGACATGGGACTTGAAGCAGACAAAGAATCTCGCAGGCACAGAGTTCGCCCTCAAGCTCGTCTTTCGCCGGTGTAGAGAGCCTAGATTTAAGAGGGTGGCAACTGCTCGATTAGGGTCAAGTGGTTTGTGGGCCACGTTTGCAAAAGGAGCTGCAGGACGCAAGGAGGGAGTCAAAACTCAAAAGCGTTCACCTTACGCAAACGTGTTTGCCTCTCTACCCGATTCCCTCGCCACACTGGCCACGCGACAACCAAATGCAGGCGTACTTGTGCCAATCTGCGCAGGGGGCATCTACCATTAAACTGCAAACGCTCTCAATGTTTGAAGTTATTCCCTCTCTTAAATCTAGGCTCTCTTTCTCATCTCTGCCGGTATGTTGTCGCTAGTGCTCCGAACGCCCCTATCGGCATGCCACGACGGCTTCTCTGCATGTGATACGGAAAAGCTGCTTCCCAGATGAGTGGGGAGCAGACGATGATGCAGAGGCTGCCGTCAACAGCCTTTGCAGCATCTTCTGCGGCCCGTTCTGGGTGGCTGCTCGGCCGCGGCAGCATAAGTGCGGCAACCTGAGACTTAATAAACTTTCCAAATTTTAATCTTTTAAATTATCACAGCATTTCTTTTTGCTATATGCACGGGAGCCACTCAATTTCCTTCGCTAAAAACGGACAGAAATGCATTGAAAAAGTGCAAAGATTGCTTCGCTGTAGCTGCCATTTCATTATAACTGACTTCGTTATAACCGGTCTTGACAGTATTTCCAACTTTGAGGAAGTTTGTATCTGAATACTGGGTGTATATCAAACCCCCAATAAACAAAAACGGAAAAAAACAAATGTAGACAGATCAGAGTCATTTGCCACTGGCCCTCATATTTCTGACAGTGCACCAATCCTAGGTTGGTTTGTGAAATTATATGCAAAATGGTATGCGTCTTGCTATCCCCCTGGTAGCATGCCTCCAGTTCCGTCTTGCAGAGGAATGGATCTCTTTTAACCATGTTTCCCTATTGTTTCCTAGGCAACTGAAGGAAACCAACTAAAGGTGTCTGGGAATAAGAAGTTCAAGGAAGGTGCATACCTGGAAGCTCATGCATTGTACACTGAAGCCATCTCGAAAGTGTAAGACTGCCTCATGCTATCCTGCTTGCTTGCCGAGCAAATTTTACCCAAATGCTGTTGCTCACTTCCTGATCGGGACATTTTCTCACTTCTGGTTAAGTTTGTTCTCACTAAATTGTTTCTGCGTGTGCTGTTGGGAATCGCGCATACATGTGAGTTCGCGGCTCCGGCGACTTCTTGAGCTTGTGCCACCCGATGTGCCAGCTTGGTGTGCAATGCTCTAGTTTAGGCAGGCAAGCATTGGCTCCAAAATAATTTGCCTTAATTTTTATCCAGTAGATTTAAAAATACATGTGGCATTGTATTAGTGTAAGTGAGCTGCCGGATGCTTGGCCTTTTTCGGGGAAGCGATGGAAGGACTACACGCTATCTTTCTGCCATTTAGAGCAACCTAAACAAGTGGAACGACGCGACAACTGCACTCATCATTGCTTTGCTGAGCTGCGTTTCGCATTGCTTGGCACGTTGTGCACAACGAATGCTTCTCCCGGTGACATTGTCATTTCGTTCGCTCTGAATGCAAGCAACGCAACTGTCTGAACCGGGTTTCAAAGCAACCTTGGCAACACGCTGATATGAACAGTTGTCTGCTCTACACAAAACAAGAAGCAATCCAAAGAGCACCTAATTCGTTGGGCCATTATGAGTCGCAGTTTTTCCTGCGGCCCTGTTGTTGCTGCTGTTTTAGTTGCTCTGGACACGACCGACGCAACTTTACTTCGGTGACGATTATGCCAGCAGTGTGCACTGGAAGAAGTCGCGAGAGATGAGCAAAGATACCGAAAGGAATTCGTTCTGACCATTGCGGTGTTTTCCCTCTAGGTGCCGTCTGTTTTGCTGCAGTTGCAGGCGAGCCCCTGTTTAAGTCTTTTTGGTTTTTTTGCAGGTGTTCTTTCAGTGCTGCCCAAACTATGGTAGAACCGTCTTGATACGTTTTTTGGGGGATCGTGATAAGAAAAGGATTATGATCCCGGAAAACATAATGCTTCTGGGGTGCCTATAGATCAGGGGTCTCAAAAACGCGGCTCGCCGGCTGCATGCGGCCTGCGACTCGCCGGAACGCGGCCTGCAGGCAACCGGCTACGAATCCCGGTTCACATGTCTTGAGCGCTAGAAATGGCATGCAACATTGTGATCTCTTGCCGATTCATTTTCGCTCGATAAGTAGCTCCGCTCTTAATGTATTCACATAGTTTTTACTTATCTGTGTTCATTTGCCATTTCTTTTGCTTTTTTTTTGCCTCCCAGATTTTTGTAATGTACAACAATTGCGCTACTAGGTTACAAGCACGAGCTCTTTGTTGAAGGATGAATCTCGGCTACGTGAACTCTTGATCAGCAGGAGCAACTGTCAAAGATAAAGCTACAAGCTCGGGATTATCGCCCTAAAACAAATATCACCATTAAACCGAGTATAGAAATCATCAGGAAAGCAAGAACTGCCAGATTAATGATTGTTTTTAGAGACCTGTTAAGCTTGGTTAATTCCTGAACCAGTTGAGCAATGGGAATGACAGTGTGTTTGCTCTCTTGTTCTATTAAAAATGCGAACACGTCGGCGGGGTGGTGTAATTTTAATTCTTGTTATCGCTTCGGGTAAGGACCCAAAGTAGTCATATAAACAAATCAAATCTAAAAATGTGACTGACAAAACTGAGTTTACAAAAAGTATAGAGTGTGAGGTCTCTTCTCTTTACATTAGTTAAAATCCCTCCCCCCCCCCCCCCCCCCCCCCTTCCAAAAGTTGGCCCTCAGTCTTCCCAGTGTGGGTTATCTAGCCCCCGTGCTCAAATGAGTTTGAGACCACTGCTGATGCAGGAAGACACTTTGGTAGTACATTCACGCTGGGAGAAATTGTAGGAGAATCTTGGTTGATGCCTAGCGTCGGAAGTCTGCGGAATATCCGTTGGAGAGCAGGCTTCTTCCAAGGCCTATATTTTCAACGGAAAAATGTTCCTCCTTGCTGCAAACCAATCTGAACACAAGGCGGAAATTGTGTTTACTGGCGTTCACATTCTGTCCAAGCTGCAAATGGTACCTACCGTGGCTCCCCTGGTGTCTTGAAGTCGGCTGGGGTGCTCATAGTTACCTAATATTGAATACTTTACGGTAAGAAGTCTACAAAAGCAGGGCCTACAAGAACGAGCTGCGGTATAAAATTGGCGCCGAATTAGACGTGAGCGGTTTCTGCACAAGTGGCATTAAATTCGCGAAGCTTTGTGAAACCTGGAGTTGTGCAGGCACGGCGGATGATTACAGATGTAGACGACACTGCCTTTTACCGAAGAGGGAATTTGGTCAACAGCAAAAGCATCTTTCGCTAGCGTGAATTCGGCATTCCACAGCAATTTAGAGGTGCCATGATTAATAAGAGTCCGAAGAAGGGTAGAGCACAGAGCGCTCCTATGCATATTGAGTATAGAGGAGAGAGCACAGGATTGCCTCATTGCTCCGCCAAACTTAACCAAATTTTATATACAACAATGTACACATCAAGTTACTCAGTGGGAAGAAGTGGCCGAGTGGGCTAACGCGTCTCAGCTCGGAGCGTGGAGCGAAAGCTTGCGCTGGGAACCTCCTGGGTTCGATTCCCGCCGCCCCCGCCAGTTTCGATCTGGATGAGTTTCGTACCGGCACGCGTTTGTGTTATCACTACTGTGTGATGCACATTAAAAACCCCAGGTTAGCGGTTGTACTGCACTGGCTAAATTTCTCATCTACAGCTAAGAGACCGATTACCCGTTGAAGCGCATCTCCATCAAGGCTGTATAAACATAAAAAGCAAACCATTTTTTTTTTTTTTTCAAGTTACTCAATGGCCAAAGTGGTAGATAACTCTGTAGGCGAAGGATCCCAAATCCCAAATGCTATCGCATTACATTTGGCAGTTCCAAGGAGAAAGGATAGTTTTTCTTTTTGCTTTTTTAGTGCACTGAACAGAGTATTGTTTCCAGGTCTTATAGTTTGGGAAACTGTAAAATAGTTTGGCTGTTTCCAGATCTTAGGTTTTAGTAATTTACGGTGGAAATTGTTCCTTGTGGTTACTGTGTTGCACATTGTGCATGTCCTTCAAGTGTGGGCCTTTGGTATCTGCAGGAGATTCAACCATCTGCTGTACAGCAACCGTGCCCTGTGCTCCCTACAGCTGAGCCGATACAAAGAAGTGGAGTTAGATGCACGCAGGGCCATAATCCTTAGCCCCAACTTTGAAAAGGTGGGCCATCTTTTAGGAATTGTGTGGGGCTGCAATTGTGGACGATTTTCACTGTGCAGAGGGTACCACTTGAAGCATCTGCGCATACGAGGCAGATCTGCTCGATAATGGGCAAGGATTTTCGGTCTTGAAATGTCTCTTGAGAAGGGGGTTTGCAGTTGCGCATCCCTTGGCAGAAACAGATTCACATACTGAAAGGGTCCTCTGGCAGAATGTGAAGAGGCTATAATTTTTGATAACATGTCTGAAGTTGGGGAATTATCAGTGTTGCATCATGTTAACTGTTTATTTTGTCAGGAAGATATTAACTTGCAAGGGGAGAGTTGTATGTGCAAAGTTGTCCAAAATGTTTCCTTCATTTTTGCAATAATATCATTGGTGCATTGACTGACAAGACCAGTCAACAACATATTACGGAGTGCTGATCACATTGCTCGGCTGATAACGCCACAGTGCTCCAGACATGGCACCGCCTGGCTCGCCGTTTAATGCTCCTGAGATATTATTAAAAATTTACGAAGCTGTAAAGTTATGTCAAAAAGAAAGGGCTACTCCAGTCAGGAGCAGAGTTCATTTCATTGAGAAACTGAAAATTCCATACCAATGCAGGTCGGGAAAATTCCCCTCATTATTTAAGGCAGAAGTTTGGTTTCAAGACTATCTGTATGAGTACCAAACCTAGGCTAGTGATATATAAATAGGCTTTCTTCTTTGTTAAGAAAGACAACTATACTAAGTTTGAAGCCTTTCTGATAATTAGTTTGTAAGTTAGAAGATTTTGCTGGTTTGTGCAAGCCCCTCAGATTTATTAACTCATTGTATCATGATAAAACTTCATGTATAATGCCCCAAGACATGTCTCCAGGGTGTGAAACTATTGGCCTTTTTCTTAGTTGTATTAAAAAAACTTTTCATGCTAGGCGGATTTTCGCACCTTGCTCTTAAATTTCACAAAAAAATGTTATATCACTGGAAAATGAAATAGTTTCACCCCTTGTATTTGTTATTTAAGAATATATTGTAACAAATGAGTAAATTCAGATTACCGTATATTGCCGATTATAAGTCGACTCCGAATATAAGTCGATTTCTTCAGACTACGATACGAAAAAACAATTTTCTCGTACGAGTTAGGGAAATTAGAAAAATTTGTTTATTGGCATGGAAGCATATTTACACGCAGAAGTAAACGGTGGTTTACTCATCATCGCTCGACACTACGATGCAGTCACTGTCGCTAGAGTCCGGGTCAGCGCGCTCGGTCGGCTGAAGCGGCGTCTATATTGAGCATTTCGAAAAGGCCTCGCAAACCATCTCATCCGGTAATCCGTACCAGGCATCGTTGACCCAGGTCGCCACGGTGCTTAAAGACGCGCGCTTCACTCGGCCTGTCGGAGTCGTCGGGTTGTCCTCCCGGCTCAGCCACTCGTTGTAAAATGCTCCAACACGATCTTTAAATGGTTTGTTTAAAACCACGTTGAGGGGCTGGAGAGCCGACGTCATCCCGCCTGGAATGATTGCCAGGTCGCAACCCGCATTCGCCACCACCTTCTTCACGCGATCCGTAATGTGGGCGCGGAACGAGTCTAACACGAGCATGCTCCGGGGTTTCAGGAGCGCACCCGGGCGCCTGCACCAAACGAGGCGAAACCACTCGAGTACGGTCTCTTCATTAAAAAAGCCCTTCTCATTCACTCGAACAATAACTTTCGGCGGAAACACTTCTTTAGTTGGCAATGTCTTCCGCTTGAAGACGATGAAGGGAGGCAGCTTGTGGCCGTCTGCTGTGCAGCACAACATGACCGTGAAACGATTGTGCTCGTTCCCAGTCGTCAGGAGGGGAACTTGGCGCTCTCCCTTGCCGGTGACAGTCGTCCTACTCGGCATGTCGAACCAGACCGGCGTCTGGTCAGCGTTGCCGATCTGGCCGAGCATGAGGGAGTGCTTCGTTCTTACTTCTGTTACGTATCGATGAAATGCCCGCGATTTCTCTTCGTAGGCGTCGGGCAGCCGCTGGCAAACTGTTGTTTTTCTTCTTAAACTCAGGCCACATCGCCTCATGAAGTTCGTGATCCATTTTTTTTAAATCTTGAACTCGCTCCGTCCAATTTTCATTTCGTTGGCAACAGCGCGCGCCTTGCTTTTTATGTCGTCGTACGAGACGCTGAGGCTTTTGCTCCGCTGCTCCGTGACCCATCGCAGAACAACCTCCTCGACCGCAGGGTACTGGCCTTGTTTGGGGCCCCGAAAGGACCGACGCGCACCCGCGCAAGCAAAAAGTTTCTGCCTTTGTTGTCTCCATCCCCGCACGCACTTCTCTGAGACACCGAAGTGACGCTCCGCCGCGACGTTGTTCGCCGCCTCAGCGAACAAAATAACCTTCCTCTTGAACGCCGCGCTGTACTGACGCCTAGCTTGAGGCGGCATTTTCTTCCACTTCGTGAAGGCTACTGAACAGACATGTGACAAACAAGGGTCTAACATGGCCGCGGTCGCGTGCTTTTGCTTGTGTACCTAGGTACAAGTCCCTATGTTTCCTCCACGGAGTCCCTAGATAAGTTTATGATTCAACCGCAAACGCTTTCCTGATACAACTTTAATAGTTTCATGCGACTAAAGGTGTTATAAAGTAAAATTAAGATTTAAAAATATTATATTTTTGTTTTTAGAACAAGTTTATGCAGGTAATGGCTTAGCTGGCTCTCGAGCACCACGAAACTAGTCCCTTGTGAGGAAAAAAAGTCCCTAGGATCTGTCGTTCGTCTAGACGCGTTTTTAGGCCCTGCGTATAGGTCGACTCCGCGTATAAGTCGACCTTCCTAATTTGAGATACCCATTTCCTGAAAAAAAGTTCGACTTATATGCGGCTATATACGGCAATAGTTCTCAAGACATTGCAAAGCAAACCAGATAACAAAAACATATTTTGAGCAAAATGAGGAAGAAGATAAAAGACTGCAGCTTAGCCTCATAGTACTGCCCTAAATGGTGCTGTAGGGGTTCAGGGGCCATATTGCATGAGGAAACACTGTAAAACTAATTTATCGTAAAATACCAAGCCAGCGCCCACTCAAAATTTAGAGATGTGCAAAAAAATGGGGGATGGGCGCTCGTTCGGTCATCAATTTTGCATATCAATGTACTGTGCATATTTTCTCAGATCTTACAAATTTGGGAATGGGCGCTTAGTGTGGAATAAGCGGATGCTCGGTATTTTACTATAGGTTCAATGACAGATTTGGTTTTACAATAATCCCTGCCATTGTAAATCAGTGACGGTTTCTAATCGAATAAACAAACATAAATAGACGCGTCATTATAAATTTTCTTTTATAGCTTCAGAAATGCCTTGTCAGACTCCCTCAAAACAGAACAGAAAGTGGTTTAAAATTTTCTTTTAATATTCTTTAAAAAAAAGGACCTTATGATGTTTTTTAATATACTTTAAACGACTTGATTTTTGCGGGCTCAAAGTTTTGTGAATCGGGCCAAAGCTGATCATTTGAAATCATTCGTGGGTCCTAATTTTCGCGAATCCAGTGTAGCTTTCATAGCGTTCACATATTGCCTGAATTATTCGCTAATCGTAGGAGATTTGCGAAAATTTAGTCGTTTACAGTATATATATTTTTAATTGGATGTAAAGCGAACTGTGAAGAATGGATTTTAGCTTTCTGTGACACTGTATTGAGAGGTAAATAATAAGAAGTTTAACTTACAAAATTAGTATCTACAGTCCCTGTCCGGCATTCGCCAGTTGCGAAATCCCGACAAGAAGCCTTCAGCACACCCGAAGCTTTCTTGTGGGATCCAATCGCGATTGTGTACAAGTTCTTGTTTCTGAGCCTGCATCGCCTGCTTTTTCATTTCGTTTTTCATTTTGTTTTGATCGTCTATCTTCAGTTTTCATAGTTCACTTTTCGGTGAAGGCTGTGCCTGTGGTGAAGCCGCAAATGCGACAAGGCTTGGGCTGCTGCTCGCGATTCATGAATCCGCGAGGAGGAGTGGTGGAAAGCATGCGGCCGCCATCTATGAAAACGCATCGGCGCCTCACACCTTCGCATGCTGATCCGGAGCCTGCAGCAGCAGTGTCGACATTATTGATTCGAGGTCAGAGGAGAAAAATAAAAATAATATGCCTCGTTCCGCTCCGACCGTTATGCACCGCAGAATTAAAGTCAATTCAAGTAATATTAGTCGGATCCTTGGATCAAGGGGGAATTTCTTGAAACAGTTAATTGGGAAGGAAATGGAAATAAAGAAAACCGGCAATTGGGACCAGCCAGCGGAATGGCCCGGGAAAAGCCAGTGACTACCAGAGCCCTTCAGTACTGGACTCGCCCATCCGGCTCCGCTACCAAGTCACGAGCGTGCCTCACAGCGGGTCCGACAATCACCGCATGGCAACCATGAACCACGCAGCCCGGTCGCAGTGATTCGTTTGCTATCTCGGCTCCCACACAGTAGCTGCCCCAAAGCGAGGGCCCTTCTCACCTTGGGAAGACTCGAGAGGCGCTTCCTTTTGTCAGCCTTCCCCCTAAAGGGGCCTCCTTGTCGCACGGTCAACCACTTCGTCTCACAAGCTCCCCTCCTCCAGCGGGGAAGGCTAGGGGTGACTGGCTCCTCTTTGTTCTCCCCCATCCACAAGAGGAACCCTAGAGCTAGGGTTAACGAAAAGTGCCACCGCTGCTGCTACGCTATGTGACACGGACACTCAAGGCGTTTGAGCGAAAGATGAGTTTTTTGGAGCGTGCCTCAAATAGGGTGACCACTTGTCCCGCGACTCGCAGGACTGTCCCACATTGAGGGCTCGTGTCCCATGTCCCGCGAGAAATTCCCAAATCTTCAAAATGTCCAGCAATTCACACTGCCGTAATATTGACTGCAACTCATGGTGCTGCCGAACAACGGGGCACAGGGAAGCGCGGAGGTCACTGGTAATCATGTGAATCGCAATGGTACACCATTTTCTATCCAAGCATTGCGGGAAGCGACCGTCCTTGCAGAAGACAAAATATATTTGAATAGAAAATTGCTCGTTTATTGTCGTTATTTTCATATCGCTGTATCAACGCGAAAGGGTTGCTGTGGATTTTTTTTTAGTGAAGACAGCCACACAAGGCAAAAAGAAAAAGAGCATAATGTTAAAAATTTGTGTAGGACCCTGTTGATAAAAGTAAGCGTTGACAAGAAACAATAACTCGAAAAAGATTTACTGTTTCTTAATTTCATTTGATGCATTGATTGCTGCTGCAGTTGATATTTATGCTTTCAACTTCGACACAGTTAAAGGGGCCCTCCGGAGCTTTCTGCGATCGTCTGTTTATGTTGTTATATTGCGTAGTAGGTGCAAGTTAATATGTATGCAAAGTTTTAGATTACAAAACCGTTTATTAAGCAGATGGCAGAAGAAATACTTCGGGACTATTTTCTCTTGGAAGACAATCCCCCATTCCCTTCCCATCGCTAAAACTTGACCAATCGAAATGCTGCATCTCGCCGTGAATGCGAACGTTATTACTGCAACACTTTTTAAGCTTGTTGTAAATTAGAGTTTGAGAAAAATGCAAACTGATTGTGGTGCGGGAAACATAGTCCGCAATTATTGCTAAGAAAACTAGCGAACTATGTTTTCTCCCCGCAAGCTTGTTGCTAGGGGGTGATGCGTCGGCGCGTCGGCTCGTCTGGTTCCCGGGGCGTCTGCAGGCGTGCGTTTGCGGGACACGTGTTCCTTCCCGTGGATCCCGACTCCGAAGCCAGCTTTGCGATCCTTCCACGTGTAATGCGTAATGCGACTATGTACTACAGTAGCAGCGCGACGGTGCGGTGCGAAGAACGACGACTACCGAGCACAAAGTCCGGAGAGATTCCTCCGCGGGTCGGCAGTCGGCCGCGTTGGTGACGCGCAGTGACGCCGGAATCCTTCGCTTGCTATTGGCTGACGCGTAAAGAGATGCCCCTCCCGTTTTCCGGGGTCATCTCAGAAAGGGGGGCGTGCCGGGGACTTTGATAGCAATTTTAGTAGGGAAATCCGCCGCGCATGACCGTAATTTTATGATTTTTAAGATCCTTAGGGCCTGTAGATTGAGTTACCGCCATAAATGGACCATAGCAGAACGCTCCGGAGGGCCCCTTTAATGGCATATTTGGTATAAAAAATACACATCACTGAGAGTGAAAACTATTTTAGCTTAATTGCTGCAATATTATTTGCATGTGTATAAGCAGCACAGGATATTAAATGTGTTAACAGAGCCTCGGTTCGTGGTATGCGTGTTTATAAATTTCCACTACCCCCCCCCCCCCCCCCCCCTTGCCCCGCGTGTCCTGCATTTCGTCAGCAGGAAGGTGGTCACCCTAGCCTCAGAGTGGTTTCGTGGAACTACGACATTTGATTCTCTAATCTGTCAAAACTTCTTTACTGAATTTGGTGCCCCTCCACCAACACACCTGAAACTGTATCGGAGGATTGCGACAAAGGTGCGCTACGCGGCTAAATGAGTGTTGGCCGATGTGATGGCAGAGGGTGCGCGGACTGTTCAGTAGACTCGAGGGACCAGTTTAGAAGATGAGGGGCAGCTGCAAGATGTGTGCGTCAGCTACGACGAAACATGGCATAAGCGAGGCCACGCATCGCATTTCGGAGTCAGCTTCGTCCATGAACTTCACACAGCCCTCGTTCTTAATTATGCAATTGTACACATGGTTTATTATGCGGGGGGCGTAATAAACCATGTGCAAAAACCTCGCAAGATCGCGTGTGTGGCACTCAACGAATCGTAGAAACATCCCCTATGTTTCTTCATACTCTCGGCGTCTACCTCGTGACGCAGGGGTGAAGGAGAGAGCTGTGCAGTTGCTCGCCTGCTCTTGCTTGGTCCCCAGTGTGTCCTTTGTTGTCTCCTGACCCAATGCTCCACTGGACTCCCTCAATTGCGGAACCACCAAACGCACAACTCGTCTCGACAGCTCTGTCGAGAGGCATACCACAAGCACTTAAGGCCTTTGCAAATGCCTCAGCTAGCAGTGGCATGAGGCTGAGGGAGTGTCTTGAGTTCTAGGCGGCCGTTGTTCACACTGGTAGAGAACGCTGCATGTGCGACCCTTTGGCAGCAACCACCCTTACATGTCCAGGTAGTCTATTTGTGTGTGCTTTTCCTCGAAGGTGAACATAAAATTAGATTTGTGAGGTTGTGGTATCATTACATCCCTCGCAGCCTCTTTGCCAGCCAAGGGTCTTAGTGGAATGTGGAGTCAATACCGCGCATCCGCCCATTCTATACTAAGTGCCCATTCTTTGTAAGATCTGCGAAAATATGCACAGTACATTGATATGTAAAATTGATGACCGAACAAGTGCCCATCCCCCATTTTTTCGCGATTATCTCTAAATTTTGAGTAGGCGCTTGACCGGTATTTTACGGTAAGTAATTGAGCTGACTTGTTGACCATTTAACTTTTCTCTAATGAGACAGCCTCTAAATATGACTTCCGCCTCACAATTGCGCAGGGTTATTACAAGACTGCTCAAGTGTACGAAAGCCAGAAACAGTGCCACCAAGCGAAACAAGTGATGGAGTACTATATCAAACGCTGCCACCTGCGTGTTGTGAATGTCAGTGCAGAGGTCAAAGACTTCTATGAGAAGCTTGGGAAAGCAGGTAGATTTTCCCATTTTTCTTGTCTATAATTTACCAGGTTCACTTTCACATTATTTGGGTTCTAAGCTTGTTCCTTTCACTTCTATATTCAGTGGAACAGAAAAAGAATGGAAAGACTGAGCCTAAAAGGTGAGATTGCTGCTTGAATACTTTTTTGATGCCCGGTGCATGTCATTCAGGAGAGGAACTAGCATGTGAAAGATTTGGGCATCAAATTAATTTGTGTAAATGTAGAGTTGGGGTCATACCGTCAGACTTCCTTTACCCGAATGCCTAAACATGGCCATTCAATGAAGCATACTAAACTCCCAGCTCATTCCCTATCATTTAAATCTGTTATGACCACTATAATGAATTTCTGTGTAAGAAATGAAATCATTGGCCCTGCAAGGACTGCTATTATGAATTTGCGAGGTATGAAGTAACTGATTTCTCGTAAATTAGCTCATTCACACTATACGTTTTGCAATAACTTGCTGAACTGTGGAGGCTATGGCCAACATGATCTAATAGGAGCTTTGGAGCGAGGCACGTGACACCACTTGACGGGAGAGTTTGTGTCACTGTACCAAATGCGAGAGCCGGAGGAACCGGCTGTTGTCTGCTTTTAAAGTGTCGTCTGATGCGAAACCTACCAACTTAAGGTGAATGTTCACCGCCGCAACGCTGTCCGTTAGAGTAGCGAATGCTTCGGGGAACAGGTCATGAAAAACCGTACCTTCAATTTACCTGCGAATTTAATGGGTGCTAATGCCTGGTCAATGTTTTGAGCAGCAGCGGCCGATTACACGGCTGGGATTGTTCAAAAGCCATGCTCTTCGTGGAAAAGAGGTGATCCGCATCGAAACGTTGAAAAAGAATACAGTTGAACCTCGATTTAATGAAGTCATTGGGACTGGCTAATTATTTCCTAAATCGGGAACTTTGTAAAATCGAGGAAGGGAGATCTCGCGCATAGGCTGCACGAGAAATCTGAATTTGTTCATTAAATTGGGAAATTCATAAAATCGGGTTTTGTTAAATCAAGGTTCAACTGTAGGTCTTTGTTTTCCGCATCGTGTAGTGTCGTGATCAGAAGAGTCTACGAAACGCGACTTAAAATAGAAGAAAGGTTATTGCGCTAGAGTTAGTTGACTGACTTTCAGATCAAATTTGAACTTGAGAGTTACCTTGAAAGTACATTATTTCTCTGAATTTAGTACTGTGCTCGAATACCTTTCGGAGTAGAGTATTTCAGCTTTTTTCGTATAAATGAGGCAAATCCATGTGAAGAGAAGCATAGAAAAGGTGTGTGCTTATCAAATTGCCTTTTAACCCCTTACTGCAGCCACCTGTACAATGGTTTTTCTCGCATCAAATGACCCATTTCAGTTTTATTGCTTGTGGAAAAAAGCACACAGATATACTCCCAAGTTTCAGTGAAAATTGGTGTAGTCTTGGTTCTGTATCTGGCTCAGTTAGAAAAAATAAGAACCCACATGTACTGAGTTATCATTTTACCTGCACTTCGTAACTTATTAGAATTATTTCATTGTAGTATTTAATTGAAGTATGCAGTTAAGGCATGCAATAATTAACAAACCAGAAACACATGGCATTGCACTTAGAGTCGCTCCTGCCTCAATATGTAGGGGGCTCTTAAAGGACGCATGCTAAGGAAAAATGCATTTTTTTAAGCAGCCTGGTTGAGAAAAGGAAGTCATAAAACAAACTTGCTACGAAACAAAAATTTTTAAAGCTATTTTTACGGCGCTATACAAATTTGAAGTTGGCGCCCGCGGGCGCCGCAGGAAAGTGGCTGCTATTTGTCATGTGACTGGCCGCTATTTGTCACGTGGTACTTGCGCTCTTTCGGAGGCTTCCTATGATCTCTAAAAGTTACTTATTTATCTTTGTTTCAAGCGAAACAAAAAAATGAAGATTAATAAGTAACTTTTAGAGCCCAAAGGAAGCTCCTGAAAAAGCGCAAGCAGACGTGATAGACCTGTGCGCCGGCGCCGCAGAATGGACGAACTTGCGCGGTCGCGGCAGCGGCGGCATGGAGCAACCTGTCGAAATGATAGTGCACCATGCTTAGCGTGCGGTAGTGACCTGACTTTGAGGCGGCAGGGGCGCCACGCGAAGGCGTACAGGTCTATCATGTGACCCGCTGCAAAAATAATTTTTCTCCGTAAATATGGCTCTATAAATTTTTTTGTTGTTGTAAATTTGCTTTTTAACATTCTTTTTCTACCTAGGCTATTTAGAAAAATGTTTTTTTCCTTTGCATGTGTTCTTTAAAAAAGCTCTGAATGTTCGGTGCATGTCCTGCACACGGATTATTCGCTGTTTGCCTGAAATATTTGTACATTGCCCAAATATTGGGCCATCACCAAATATTTGGAAATTTTCGAATAGGCAATTCTCAAATCGAATATGAATCAAATAAGAAAAATATTCTGTTTGTGTTTGAAATCTCGAATATTCGCACACCCTTAATATGTTTCGAGTTAGAAGCCCGTCTGGTTTCCTAGTTCCTGAAACAAGGGTCTAGACATGGAACTCGAGTACTGTTCTACATGAGTAATAAAGTAATACAGATGCCTGCAAAGTAGGGGTGTGCAAATAGTAATTCTAACCGAATAGCGCTGCATCATTCATAGCTTTCACAGCACTTGGCTGACTCACAATTTGCCGGTTCTCTTTACTGAGTTCAAGCTAGGAATGACGCTGGACCATTCGAAGATGAAGGCCTATTGCTTCCTACTCGTTACAAAGCCTATTTTGTGACTCTGAAAAAGATTTTTGAGTTGGCCATTGTTGCAAACTATCTGGCACCCTCATTTCCTAAAGCAGTTCACATGGCTTGCAAATGTGCCAATCTCGACTTTCGTGTTCAGTATTTTTTCCGTTAGCTCTTAAAACTGAGTAACTCGTGCAGCAAGCCCTTTGCTCATTCCATAAAGTTTACCATCTTTTCTGCTGTCCCTTACAGCTCGCAGGCTGTGCCCATCAAATCCAAAAAGAAGCCAGTGGTAAGTTTGCTGATTTAAGTTTGGCTGATACTACTTCTACATTAACATGAAACACGTAATTGTATTTCTGCTCACTTTTTCAAGGCACTTGAGCTCCTCTCGGACTCGGACTCTGAAGACACGAAACCTGCCAAGCCCACTCCTGTCTACAAATCAAACATTCCACGGGTACGGTTCAATTTTCATCATTTCCTATATATTATCCTGGCACCGTTCAGGCTACCTTTCACGACCGAATAACATAGTAATGCTTGTCCAAAACTTCTGACATAGTTTGCAGTCTCTTGAATTGCTGTCATACGATTTTATCTCTTCATTCAGTGAAACACTTGATGCTTGAAGTAATTTTAGAGAATTATTAATGTCACACAGAGCCGTTAAGATGTGCGGCACTGTATCTTCCAGACTGGGATTAGAGTATTGATCTGCTTTGTCATTGCCAGATACTGTAAACGACTAAATTTTCGCAAGGACCTAATTTTCGTGAATCGCCTACAATTTGCGAAAAATATGTCTCGCGAACAATTCGGGCAATATGTGAACGCTACGGAAGCTTCACTCGATTCGCGAAAATTGGAACCCGTGAATAATTTAAAATTTTCAGCTTTGGCCCGATTCGTGAAAATTTGAGCCTGCGAAAATTAAGTCGTTTACAGTATACAGTTTAAAAAAAAAAAAAAAAAGACAGTTGGCTAGTGAATTTGGTGCTGTGCAACAGGTCTCGCGACAAATGTAAATGCTACCAAAAGCTGAGGCAGCAGAAAGCTTTGGTGGGTGCCTGCACCTCGAAGTTTGGGAAGCATTTTCATTCAAAGATTAGCTGTCAGCCATTTTTGTTTGAAGGCAACTGTCTCTTCTGGCTTACAGGCGACACTCATCAAAAAGGCCTCGGAGGACCTCCTGGCTGGTCTTTTCAAGTCAGCTTTGCAAGGCTATAAGGAAGCTCTGGCATCAAAGGTGCTTAAGGCTTTCCATCATATCTGTAGCAAGACATTAGAAGTGATTTACAGTGTTCCATAATGGTTCAAAACCTTGCAGTCGGCCATGCCTGAATCGGAATTGGTCGTCTTGAAATATGCAGCGGGACATGCTGCTGCCAGCCTCGACTCACTGGAGGTCAGTTTTCACATTTTCGTGGGGATGTTTGCACGATGACATAGCATGTCGTTGTACAGTATATACTTTTAAACTATTGAGCCTTAACATGTTAGACCCAGTTACTTAGTTGCCAGACTGTCCCCTTTTCATATGGCGGTTGCATACTCATAGCAGTTTGTCCTAGCAGCTCTCGTGTAGTGAAGCAAACCAGTCGAAGCCTACAAGGAGTTAAAAAGGGCGGCTTCCTCCTGGCTACCCTTCTTTCTAGTTTATAAAGTTGCAGTACTGCTTATTTGTTTGAAAAATCTAACTTCCAGACTTCAAACTCTTGGAAAAGTTTATTGCGAATATTCACTATTCCTGTCAAGTAAGTTGCGGTTCTTTGCTTAGGTCCAAAATAGCAAACTAGTTTGAATTTCAGGCGTCCAAAAAATCGGTCGGCGTCTGTATTGGTATGTGATGAGATACCGTATTTGCACAAATATATTGAATTCTTTTTTTCAACGTCATGCGCTTCAAAACATGTTTTGCATTGTATTCGGAATTGATCTCAGCCGCGAGGTGCCTCTGGCACGAGAGTGCCGTTTCTTCGGTGGAAGGGGGTTTGGGGGGAGTCGGATGGTTACAAATATGAGGGAAGGGATGCGAAAGGAGGAATAGAGAACGTAAAAAAGAGAATTCACTGTCGCCTTCGGCTGTGTGCATACATGCGTGCCTTCACCCTGCTCTGCTTTCGTGATTGTTGAACGCTACAAACGCGCAAAAGCACTGCAGGCCTTTAGGAGTCCGGAACTGGACACGACGAGGCAAATCCTGGGTGCCATTTGTGCTAAAGTTGTCGATCGCCGAACTTCCATTTCGCCTGCGCAAATACTCTGGCTTCCCTGCTTGAGCGGTCATGCTTGTGGGCTTTGCGACCAACGTCGTTGTACCAGTCCACTTAAAGTGGAGGGGGGCATGGTACACTGCATCGTTCAACAAGCAGGCAATATTACTATCCAATGATGTCGGAAACTCGAGTGCAGCACGGCGTCTTGGGGTCAGCGAGTCTATGATCGAGGATGGAGGAAAAATCAAGACCGGATCTTTCGAGCGGCACCTACCCGAAAGCCCCTCCGTGCACCCTAGCATGGCTGTTACCCCGATCTTGAGAAGATACTTGCAGATTTCGCATGGGAGTGGGGTGGACAGTTTTTGTTCTTCAGTGCTGAAACAAAGCTCTAAGCAGAGGAGCTTGCGCAGGAAGCCAACATCTCTTGCAACACTTTCGAGGCCAATCGCCCTTGGGTACAAAAGTTCATGCATAGAGCCGGATTTTCACTTCGCCGTGGGACATCAGTCTGCCAGATGCTCCCAGCAGATTACAAAGAGAAACTGATGGCCTTCCTTCCACCTTCATATCATTCACCTGTGGAGGCACCAGAACTATTTCGTGGGACAGGTAGGAAATGCGGATGAGATGCCTATCTTTTTGGACATGCCATCCAACTACACCATGGAGGTTCGCGATCCGAAGGAAGTGCGTCTCTGTACATCAGGCAACGAGGAGACTCTCCTGACGGTGATGCTTGCCGGCACAGCAGGTGCACATAAATTGCCACCGTTTTTTTATCGTCCAAGAGCAAGACGATCCCGAAAAACGAGACTTTCTCACCCTTCATGGACATAAGGCGGGGCTTGCGCGGGTCCTTGAGAACCCTGAAAACTCTGGAATTTGAATACGGCATCTTGAAAGCCCTGGAATTTTTAGGAATGCTTGAAAACACTTGAATTTTCCAATGATGGTCAGGTTTCTTCTTTCTTCGTTTGCAATAATAGTATATTTTTTACAATAATAAAATATATTAATTTTTTTACATGTTTATTAACATAAATTTCAATGAGGAAGATTTTTTATATTGCACATTTAGACACATTTAGCTGATGCTTGTTAAAGGGACACTGAAATAAAAAAGAGGAGGGAAGAGAGAAGAAACAAGCGCAAACTCGCACTTCACTGTTCCTTTCTATTTGTGCGCTATTTTAACCATGTTCAATCATTACCGACTTGCTCAACTAACCACCTTACTAAAGGGACACTGACAACCCCCAAAATTTGTTTTATTTCTTTGCCAGGTAATTAAGGTGTCAGTAGTCTGCCCAATCAATATTTTACTATAGCGTCGCATATATTTTAAATACAGTAAAAAAATGCAACTGCTCGGAACCGAAATTGAACTGAACTGGGGAGGAAGAAGAAATATAGAGGAAGAGGGAGTTGGCAGAAGTCACGTGGATGTGCAACCTTTTTTTTCTTTAGTCAACATATTTGCGGCTTTTTAGAAGCCACAAAAAACGGGTATTACATTTCTTTTTTATTTTAATATTTACTGTGTGCTTTCGATGATCCACAACTTAGATTATATTTGGTGGTTGTGTCTAAACCATAGAAAACAGCACATGACCAAAGAGAAAAGAGTAAGCGTGACTCAAACCGGCCAGTTCTCGATCGGCGGTTTTCGGGCAAAAAAATTACTATTACGAATGGCATTGCAACAGACAAGGAATAACTGAAGAAACTGAAATGTTTAATGGGGCGAACTTGTGCTCAAAATAAAAAGGAAACTGGAGATAACAGCAGAGCGTCGTGGGCGTCGAAGTCGGCGTAAAAGCAGAGTCGAACGCTGGGGCGAGACTGACTGCATATCGCTAGTACTGCCCTTATGTACGCGCGTGGGCTTCTGGAACAACTGGCCTAGAACGTTCTGCTACTAGAACATTCGGAACTCGATCAGTCGAAAATGTTCTCGAACTTGCGAGAACGCAATGTTGAAAGAATAAATAAAAGAACATTCCACCGACTGGAATCGAACCTAGATTTTCCGTGCGTAACTACTCGCTCACGCACGCGGTCGCCCGCCGACGCGCGTGGCAATACGAATTTCGAGCTGCAAATTGTGTTCTGGGCAGTTGGGCTCTCGTATGTCACATACAAATAAAAACCTTTGCGAGTATAGATACCCTGTCAGTAGGAAGTTTTAGCAGGTTGTTTCACACAAACAGTTTGCCCTCGAACGCATCGGCGATGCCTCTGCGCATGCACGCGCGAGTCGTTCGGCGCGTTGGGAGGCTCTTCTCGTTCGTTTCTCCCATTCCGGCCGCTGGAGTCGTCACCGCAACGCAGCCAGCACCGTTCACGACTCGGGTAAAAAACAAGATGGCGGTCGGTTTGGCGAGTGACTTCGCCGACCCAGCCGAGCGTTCGGCTGAGGACTGCGGTAGGCGATTTGCCATCCTCTTAGTCTGCTTCATTTGAGAGGTTGAACCAAATCATTTCGAGGACTGCTCACAATGGTGAGCGATTGGGAATGCTGTAAACTGCACATGCTAGTAAAGTGCTTGCGATCTGCGGGCAGACTAGCTGCCGTGGCGACCGCGAGCAGACGGAATGATTTGGTTTGACGGCACACAACGTGAACGATCGTTCAAGTTGAAGATGACGGAGACACACCACATACCTATACGGTCGTTTAGATACCTTTTAATCTATCTAGCTTCGCAGTTCTTAAAATTCCAACCGGCAAATGTTATGTCGGCCGTTTTGTTTACATCAGTCGTACGCCGAAACCACGAGCCGCCACGGATTTACACGTTGCAGAATGTTCCACATGTTGACTAGAAGATGGAGCCACCGGTCAAACAAACCATCATCGTTTACACGGTCACGCCAGTTTCACAAGTCGCTAAAATATGCCAAATTTCACGTACGGTTTCACGGAACCGACCAGCTGCACTGTTCGTGATTTCGGAACCGTGTGCTCAAAAAACGACTCGCTAAAACTCCCTAGTGTCCTTTTAAAGGGTCCCGAAAAGAAAAATGTCTTTTTTTAAACAGTCTGGTTGGGGCACGTGACGCGTGTGTCAAAAAATAAATTTTATGCGAAGAAATAATTTTTTTTATCAATATTGACGTTGAGAGATTTATTCAAAATTCTGCGCGTCTCGCGCCGCCAATATTACTCTAAAAAAAAAAAAAAAAAGTTTTTTTTGTTTAAAAATAATTTTTTGACATGCGTGTCCAAACTAATCTGTTCAAAAAAAAAAAAAAAAAGAAACTTTTTTCTTTTTAGGTTTTTTTAAGCTTCTGCCCACAATGGTAGCAGTCTCAGTGGTTCCGGATCTGGTCTCGCGCGTCCGCCATTTTGCGATCTTGCCCCTCGTTCGCCTTGTTCTCTCGCATACTGTTGACTACACAAACTCATTTCTGTTACGTCCCAGCACGGTACCCCCGCAGGGGGCACCTGTGAAAGCAGGTGTTTGGAGAGGCGTCTCCACGGACCCCGAGTCCCGCAGGGGGCGCCTGCACCTTAGGTGCTAGGTGCTTGGTGAGTAGCGTCACCACGGACCCCAGCCACGTCGGCCACCATACCCGCACGCAGGGGGCACCTACTTTAGTAGGTGCTTGTTGAGTGGCGTCACTACGAACCCCGAGCCTTGTGGGTTCGCCCACCCACGTCTGGCTGTGCGTGGCGTACCCGTGTCCGGGGAAAAGGGGACCCTGGTGGTTGAGCTGAGCCTGGGGTATGCTTGGGCCCTTCGGGGCCCCCCGGGCGAGGCAATACACCTCTTCGACTCCTGCTTCTCGTAGACGGGTGTCCTGGCTTGGCCCGACCAGAATGATTCAGTCAGTCGCCTCTTTTACCCTCTTCTTCCTTCTTTCACTTTTCCTTCCACCTCTTTCTCTTTTCTTCTGCACTCTCTTCCTTCCTTTTTCACCTTCTTAGGCGGCAAGGGCTAACCTTGAGTGGAACAGGTCCTGTCCCTGCATCCACACTCGGTTATAGTGCCCGGGCAGCACTGGTAGAGTAATTGTGTCAGCCAAGCCTTTCTTGTTATGGCACATTACCTACCCCCTTGTTGGGCTCCGTGGTGGGCGGTGCACCTGGGCACTGAACTTCTCTCCCATCTTTATGGGTTCTAGTCAAAAAACCTCTGATCGGGCCCTGAAAAGGGTCCGCACCGAAGCCATCACTGCAAAG